TTTTGTATAATTTTTTTTTCAATTTTTCATAATCTAAAGAAGTAAAAAAATTTGGAGATTCATTGTCTAAGTAAGTTTTTATTAACTTTACAAATTTTACTATTTGAATAATATTCAAGACCAAGTTTGTATAGCATATTTACGAATGACTTACAAATTAGTATGAAGCCCCTCAACAAAATTTCTAGATCCGCCACTCGTGAGTTGGACATGTTTACCCATATAATTTGGTAATGGAGATTAAATAATTTGAGTGTTGTATGTACAATTTACAACAATGTTTTTAAAATTAGGTTTAAATACTACTTTAGTTTTATTACTTTCGACTTTTGTTCATTTTGGTTTTAGTACTTTCAGTTTTTGTTCATTTTAGTTATTGTAATTTTGAAGCGTATGTTTTGGTCCCCTACTTCTAAAAAGTGACTGTTTTGGTTAATTTATTTTAATTTATTTTTTAATTTTGTTTGGATCAAAATTTCAACATGACACTATATCCAATAAATTTCTTGAAAGGAAGTAGCAATAAATTTGCATTAAAGAGTTTTCAAGGTGTATGTTGTGTCCAAATTTTGCAAACAAGAATCAAAATAGTCACTTTTAAAAAGTAAATGAAATAAAAAAATATTTTAAAAGTATATGAACTGAAATGAACAAAATTTGAAATTACAGAAATCAAAATAAACATTTTAAAAGTACAGAGACCAAAATGAACTGAAACTAAAAGTACAGACACAAAATAGTAATTAAACCTTAAAATTTTTTTTTTTTGATAAATTATACAAATAACTCTAAACTATATTGCCTAGTTAGAATTGCATCCACAAAACTTTCAATGGTAAAAATAAAGTTTTCAAACTTTAAAATTTTAAAGGGAAAAAAAGGCTTCTCTCTCGCTAATTGATGTTACGGTCAATGAAAATCCCAATTTTTCTCATATGAAAATTGAAAATTTTTATTATTAAATACAAAAATTATACGTAGGTGTAATTGTAACTATCACTATATTTCACAATAATTTAAGCAAAATTTTTAATTATATCTATATGAATTTTTGCCCCTCTATTAGTCTCATTCGTTTTTCTTTTTTCTTTTTACAGATATTAATCTCATTCAATTGAATGCCGAGTGAGATATCTACCAACTTATGTTATTAATACATTAATTAAGCTTCTACTTAACTGTTAATTATTAAATGTATTTAAGTTTCAAAAAAATATTAAATGTATTAAAAAAACTATTAACTAAATAAATAATTAATAAATAAAACACAGTGCCAATTGCGTGCCACGGAAAGTGATTTTATACAGATACCCTTACAATCCACGTGGAATTATTTTAATAATTATCTAAAACAGAATTAGGGCAGGATCCGGTGTTACCGGTTCTACTTTAACTTCAGTTTATTATTGGAAGGAATTTCGATGTTCAATTCCAGTAGTCAACGGTGTCGTTTTTATTGTTTTTAGCTATTTTGCCTAACTTTTCTTATATTTGTTTGTTTTTATTTTAGGATATTCGGAAAATAAAAATATATAAACACATTTTTCACTTTGTTTTTATTCTTATTAAAAGCAATTGTGGGTGTGCACATCTTTGAATCATCTAATGAATATTTTGACTTTTTGGAGTCTTAATTTGATGGGTGGATATTGAAATGACTTCTTGATTCTTATAACTATTTTTAAATTTGTCAACTTGGGTGTAACTCAACGGATTAAAGTAGTATATGCGACCAAAAATTCATGAGTTTGAATTCTCACTCAACATATTGTACTAAAAAAATCATACACAAATCTCGACAAATATAAAATTAAGAATGGAAGTGAGATTTTCTACTAAAAATTCTTTCTAATGGAAGGTACAACTTATTTAAAAATTAAAAATTTAATTGAATTAGTCTGCTTTCAATTAATTTAGACATTTAAAATTATGTAAATACATGTATTTTTTTAATTATTTTTAAAAAATTATACATAAATACTTATTAGAAATAGCATTAAAATAGAAATGAGAAACAATACGAAATAAAATATTAATTACAAACCAATAAAGTTTAGGAGTTGAATAATAGGAATGAGTTGGGAATCAAGGAATAATAATGAATTCTATGATCGCTCGCTGTTCTTGGATTTAAAGCGAAAGTATAAACTATTCATTCATGTCTTTATCCATGTGAAATAGAGATCTTAGGTTCCGTCTTATTCAAAATCGATCCCTAGGGAAGAAATTGACACCTTCATTAAGACTAAACGACACCTTCATTTGAGTTACATGGCCGCGTGGAAAGAATTGATCATGAAATCAATCTATTCCCTCAACTACTTTTTTAATTTTTTGCATGGCTCTTCTTTTAACAAGTAACCTACCTCCTGATCACTTAACTAGTCACCAAAGTTGTTTTTCGACAAATATCATATTAAATGTACTTTGACGATTTTGTGTTATGAAAATGTAATGTTTTTTGAGTTGAACCACATATGCCGTGGATATTCGAAACTCTAACCCTGGATATATATCTTAACCACTTGAGTTATATGCTGATATCTGACAATATTTATAATTTTTTTTTAATTTTATAAAATTAGTTAAAAATGTTTTAGAAAATATGGTTCGAATTTAAACAAAATTTCAAACGATTTTCAATTGTGGTAGATTTTAAATTAATTCCATTATTTGTTGTCATATTAAAGAGACTGATTTGTTTTTACATAAAATATATATATATATATATATATCTTATTTTATTTTCTAGTGAATGTCTATGTAAAGAAATTTAATTACATTGATTTCAAATTATTGTCGTTGTTTCAAAATAAATAACTTCAAATCATTTCTCCTTCGGAAAGAAATTTAAATCATTTCCAAAATTGGAAATTATTTATTAAATTCTTTTTGAGGTCGAACGTAGGAAAGGATAAAGGTAATAGGTTTTGTTCAAGTACATAAAAAGGAGGAAATTACAAACGAAAAAAAAACCACAAAAGTAAGTATGATATGTGTCTGAATTAGCATCATTTCACGTCTTCGTATTCAGAGAAAGGTGATAAAGCGTTAGTGGGTCGAATTATCCTCTATTCGGAAGATGTTTGCAATCGCTTGACAGGATCCTGCGGTTTTTTATGTTGGTGTATTGTATGATCTTTCTTTTATCTTATTTTTCCTCTGGGCTACTTGATACACATGTACTATACATGTGCTGAGTTACTTATGAAAAAGTCGTCTACTCATTTCATTGTTAGCGAGTATGTGGTAGCTAAATTGAGCTTCGTGTCTCCATCGGGGAATCCCACTTGATCGATATATGAATGAGCGGATGTAGATACTGCATGGATTAATGATAATTGGTGCATTTAAAAATAAAATAAAATAATATTTTGGACCTTCAATAATTTAATAAATTGGATAATAAAAAATAAAATACTGGCAACCGTTTCAACCGGTGTTGTAGGATGCTAACAATTTGCAATACGATGATAAGTACGAAAGTGTTGGAGAGAAGAGAAAGCGAAAGTGACTCTCAAACTCAATATGATTTATGCATACAATTTTTCTTTAATTTATTTTCATTGGATGACCAATCATACCTACAACATGATTGGTAATTATTTAAAAATATTTTATCTTAAGAGATCCTTAAGCGGACTCACATTTTACCCTTTAATACCGATCACGGACAACTGTAACACCATATGTATAGTATTAGGGTCAGGTGGTTATCCCGTAAGACTAGTAAAGTACGCAAAACCTGACCGAAACACACACACAATTTTACACATTAAGAACCCACAAATTTCTAAACTTACATGTATGCCACTCCCAGCACTTTCTGAACTACCATTTTTTCTCCATAGATTTTCGTTTTTCTCATTTATTATTATCTTTTTTTTTTGATAGAAATTCAAATTTACAATTTTTAGTCAGATATATGAGTACTTTAATCAAATAACTGGCATGTTTTTGCAACAATTGTAAATATGTAACTTTTAAAAACATCTTATTTACCAATGTACTTATCCACCATTGATCCACTCTAGTGGCAAATAATCCAAACAAATATAATCATTAACTCTAACAAACAATCATAACCTACCCATTTATGTCTTCTTCCATAACTATTTCATTTTTAGTTTTCTTACCATTTTCTTTAGTATATTTTAAAATTTTTTAAAAATACATTTGAAGTTTGAGCCAAATTTCAAAATAAAAATAAGTTTTTGAAATCTACTTTTTAACTTAAAAGAAATTTAGCTTAGATTTTGAAAATATTTTTAAAGAGTAGATGCAAAATAAAGAAATACACAAGTGGTCAACCAAAACATAACTCGGGGGAGAGAGTTCAAATCCTCACTACCCACATGTTGTACTAAAGCAAAATAATAATAATAATGATAATAATAATAAAGAAATACATAGGCGGGGAAAGTTATGTTTATAAGCTTAATTTTCAAAAGTTGAAAACAAAAAATTATCAAACTAAATAAACCTTTAATGTTAATTATTGTACCATTAATGTTAATTTCTAATATACTTTTGACTAAATAAAATCATTAATATATATTTTAATTCTTTTCCTCTGTCTTAAAATTCTTTTTTGTCAAAGTCCGTTCGGCGGCAATTGGCATCTATTCCAACCAGAAGGTTGTGACTTGGATCCCCACATCCACTCTAGATGTTGTACTAAAAAATATTTAAAAATTTTTTTAGATTCTATATTTTGTTATTTATTTAAATTATATTAGATATGTACCAGTTCAAAAAGTGGAGCCCAGCCCAAAAACAAAACGTTTGGGCCGAATTGTGAAATGGTTTTTGTCGGAAAAGCACATTCCTCCGGGTCCATCGGATTCGGATTCGGACCAAAAAGATGTCCGAAATTCCGAAAGTACCCCCACCAGCCTGTCCGAATCCGAAACCTCTCTCCAACGGCTAGTTGCAGAAAGAAACGCGCCGATTTAAAAACTTCTCCTCGGTTACTTCTCCATCTCTCTCCAATTCTCATCGTTACTCTGCTCGGTATTTCTCTCTCTCTCTCTCTCTTGCTTGCAGTGATAATGGAGGAGGAGAATCAAGCTGTGAAGTCCAGCATTGAAGATGTCGGCGAAGATTTCTACGAGATGATCGAGGCGCCGAAGTTCGTCGACTTCACTGCTCCCGGTCCCTTCCTTTCCCTTTCCGATGATCGCTACTGGTTCTGCTCGCGAGTCGGTTTGTTTCTTCTTATTTGCCCTCATCGCTCTGTTTTTTTACTGTTAGGGTTCCATGTCTTTTCTTTCTTTGAAGTTTGATCTGTCGGAACTCCTCTCTCCTGTTCTTAATTTGCTTGTTTTTCTCTTGCTCTGAAGTGTGAACTACATTATGATCTCTGTTCGGTTTGATTTTAGTTTGTGTCTTGGAATCTCTGTTTCGGCTATTACTGTGAATTGCTGCTATGCCTGAACTTTGAAGTATTTGAATTAGCGATAGCTGAGAGATGGAGTTCTTAAAGTCATCTTGGCTTGTTGTTCATTCCAATTTTAGTGTTTATATTACTTATCTTGTGATTTGCGGACTTGAAGTTAGCGTGGTTGATTCTAGAGTTATATAATTTGTATTTTATACCAAATAGCTCGGAGTGGAAATAGTGTTCCTTAAATTCTTATTACAAGAACAGATTGTTTCTCTTACACTCTCGATTTTCAATTTTATTAAAATTGTAGGGTGTGATGAGGAGCATCCAGAAGAAATGGACTCTGAAGTCGTTTACAAAAACTTTGTTATGCGGGTATGTTGTTGATTAAGTTCCTCCATGAGCATGAGCAGGTTCTGTAGTATGTTGGTTTCATTTTAATGTAAGAAATTTGTTGAATCGAGCAGGTAATGGCGGCCAGGAGTCCGAATGTACGGCTTCAGAGAGCACGAAGGTCTGGATCCAAAATTTCTGTTCTTCTTCTTCTTCCTCCTCTTTTTCCATTTTCATTCCTTTTCTTTTCCACATGACTGATAATTTTTTGCATCGTCTTCCGTTACTACTAGGAACTTGAAATGTCCACTTACAGCTCCTCCAAAGTCTTCAAAGTCTAGAGTGGCAAGATTAGCCCTTATATCTTCCATCTCTAAAAGGATAGTGGATGCAAGAGCGAAATCTAGACCGCCTATTGCCAAGCCCAGACCGACTCCGAATGCAAAACCAAAACAAGCTCATGCCAAGGCAATGACTACTCCAAGGAACAGGAAGCTTAACCCAAATCCCAATGCTTTTCTGAGTGTTAAAGTTCCTAAGACAACATCAGCTGAAGTGCCAAAGACTACAAGGGTAGCTAAGGCTTTGATCTTTCAGTCTCCCAAGAAGGATGCAAAGAAGAAAACCTCTATAGAAATCAATACTCCTATGAAAACTTTATGTGCAGCAATGAAGAAACTTGAGATTACCAGCGCAAAGAAGAATGTGTTAGGGGACGGACAGCCACTGCCCCTTGATGTTTCAAGGAAAAAGTTAAGAGGACGCGAGGTAAAGAGCCGGGTTTTTGATTCATTAGGAACTCAGAGTGGTTGCAAACGCCAGGATGCCAAATCTGCTAGAGTTTTGAAGAGGAGAAGCAAAGAAAAGAACTTAAAGCCGCCTCTTCCTGATCGTGTTGCCGAAGAAATTGTTGATGAGGATGCCAGTGACATGGATATTGATGAGAAATCGAGGCATGTTTCAATGCAAGGGTGCTCTCTGTCAAGTTCTGCTAAGAGTAATGAAGGAAATTTAGAGGAAGAGCTTTCAAAAGTTGAAGATTCACATGATATGTGCAAAGACTCTGAAGGTAATAAAACTTCAACTTCAAATTCTGAAGAGAATATTTCAGAAGAAAGTGACTTCGAGGTAGTTCTATGTGAAGTGGAGGAAGGGAAGAACCAAGAATACAATCATGAAACAGTAGCCTTAGAGATGAATATTTCAGAACTTCTGGAGAGGGATGATAAAGAAAATGTGGGTGAAGTTAAAGAATGTAATCGAGATGAAAAGGTTATGAACATTGTGGAGCCTCTGACCGAGAATACAGATAACTGTTTCAAATTAGTTCTATGCGAAGTGGAGGATGAGAAGAGTCACGAATGCAATCGTGAAGAGAGAATGAAATCAGGGAAAATAAAGATGAATATTTCAGATCTCGAGGGCGATGATAAAGAAATTGTAGTGTGTGTAAATAAGGAAAATGTTGTGGCCTCTGATGATGACATAGAGCATGAAAGTGAAACCACAGCAGACGAAAATGTCGCACCTAATGACAACAGGTATTGAACCGTTCAAAATTTTCACATAAGTTGGATATATTGTTCTGATTATTGATTCATTGAGGATAAACCTTGCAGGGAAGATAATTCTTACGATGGGTCTGAAAGAGTGACATTTGGCAAACATGAGAAATCTAAAAATACTGCAAAGGTGAATGCTACTGCATCTATTAACTCAGTTTTTTTACTATGATATTTTTGTTTCATCCATGCTATAAGGATAGATAAATTGATGCAGGTCAAGGGAGTAGTGAAGAAGACTGTAAAAGAGAACTCTACTATTCCTGTTACACTTGGTTCTCATGGGGTGAAATCTAGCAGGCCAAAGACCACAAATCCCAAGCCATTTAAGCTAAGAACTGACGTGTGTAATCCCTCGGACATTCACCACCACCAAGATTATTAGTTATCTTATTACTCTTCACATTGCTAATCTGATTCGTTGGGTTGCTTCAGGAAAGAGGTGTACTAAGGGAAGCAAACTTGGGGAAAAAGCTTAATTGTCCTTTGAAAGACATCACTGCATCTCGAAGGTTACATGGAGAAAAGTTGCAGAGAAAAAATCAAAACATGAACCAAGTGAGTTTTCTTCAATCATTATATTTTCAAACCCCTCCCCCTCTGCGGATGAGACAAAATATGATTGTTTATCCTTCTTCTTTTTGTTAGGATTCTGGATGTGACAATCACGTTGAAGAAGACCATGAAGAAAGGATGCTAGAGAACAAAACCCTAGATGATAGACAAGTAAGTTGGTATAAGAAAGAAAATTAGTTTACTTTGTTTTTATCCGAAGATCTGCAAATCTACAGTTCTGCTAACATCTGTGATGTTAACAGGGAGGATCAGTACCAAAGAAAGGAGATTCTGAACATAAGTTATGTACAATGGATTCACAAAATTGTGTTGCTATAAAGCACCAGAAACAGAGGCTTCCTCGTCTGCTTGAACCTGGCAAAGAGAAAGCAACCAAGAAGACAGAGAAATTGAAGAGGACTGAATTAGGAAAGATACAGGAAAAAGTCAGGAAGCCTCGAAGGTAAGTAAACATTTCAAATATTTGAAACCTTGATTGATTACTAAATCATACATATGATGTTCTGACATATGGAAGTCTTCTCTTCTTTGAAGGGATGTATCATCTAAAGAAATAACTTCTCTATTACCATGTCGCCAACTCAGTGCAAGGAAGGAAACCTCACAGAACATATTGAGTCACAAGGATGCTAAAAAACCATCAGATGCACCGTCTCGAAAAAGAAGGCCTGCAACTATCCCTTCAAAGGATCTAAATCTTCATAGCAGTCATCTACCAAAGAGCTGCTCAAGAAAATTGGCTTAGGCTTGATCCTCGCCTCGGTTATCAGTTCGAACGTTCGATTGGATTGTTTTCGGTTTGTTCAATTAAATCATTGAATTGCATGTCACATTTAGTTAGTTCATTCTTAAACCATCTTTAAGCTAGAGTGTGTGAAGTAGTAAGAATTTGAAACATAGGATGCCATTTGTATCTTACCCATATATATATATATATAATCGATCAATTCTTGTCTTGTCCATAAAGTGAATTGCTAAGTACCTTTACTTTATCCTCTAATCTTTCATGCCAAGTTTGGTTAAGTAGACTAGACCATTCAAAAAGCAGGTAGAATTTGAAGTTAAAGTAGTGTTTTATCAGTCCTAGTAGGCTCAAATAGCAACTATGGTGGCTAATCTAGTTCTCGATGGTCGATAAATACTTTTGTTGTAATGATTACATGCTATAAACTTTTATGATTACGCAACTGGAACTTAATTTGTTGCAGTATGTTACAAATGCTTCCTACTAAGGAAACAGAAAATTGGGGAAACAGGAAAAGGAGAAGGGGGCAAAACCTGTTTTTTCCCACCAACAGTGATCTATGATACAATGATTAAGGTATAGTCTTCTAGTTGCTAGCTTCTTGCAAAAGGCTCGGAATCATTCTAGTAAAACTAAATTCTAAACTCGAAAATTGTGATGTCCCCTTGATACTATACTGCAGTAGTAGTAGTGATCTCTATATCTTCTTCTTGATTACTTTTCACATCCTTTCTTGACAACAATGTCCATGAGGTTACAGGGTTCAGCCTCCTCAAGCATGTGAACTACCATTCTCATGGAGGGCCTCGTTGATGGAATCTTAGCCGTGCAGCGAAGTGCGATTCTCAACACTTTGACTGCATCTTCCACCTGAGCCTCTGAGATGCTAGAATCTACCATTTCTTTCAGATTGCCGTTTAGGTCTCTCATTCTGCTGTGTGCCCATTGTACAATGTCCTTGTTCTCCCCAAACTCTGGCTCATTTGGCTTCTTTCCTGTTACTAGTTCCATTAAGACTACTCCGAAGCTGTAAACATCGCTCTTCTCGTTTATCTTGCACGTGTATGCATATTCTGTGACATCAAAGTAAAGAGATGATCAATCAGTAAGGTCAGTAAGCAATAAAATTCAGCCTTCTTTCTCTATTCAAGTATTTTATCTTTTGTTTAATGTCAAATTGTTAACAGAATTCAAGTTAACTAACCAGGGGCTATATAACCGAGTGTTCCGGCAATGACATGAGACGAATCTCCACCCCCACGGCCATCCTGCAGAATCTTAGCCAGCCCGAAATCTGCAATCCTAGGCTTCCATTCACTGTCCAACAAAATGTTGCTCGATTTCACATCCCGGTGAATCACCGGTCTATCACACCCATGATGCAAATACTCGAGCCCCCTCGCTGCTCCAATTGCGACCTCGTACCTTATCTGCCATCCCATCTCAATCTTCCTGCTAGTGTGCAGCTGATCCCATAAACTTCCATTTGGTAAGTACTCGTAAACCAACAGATTACTGTCCTCGCTCGAAATGCTACAGTATAGTTTCACCACATTGACATGTCTCACTGAGCTCAAAGTACCCACTTCTGCATCATATTCCGACGACCTGGTCTTCCTTTTTGTTAACATCGTTGTGCTAGTCCGACAGTTTGTTTGATCCCTAGAGCTCGACTGCCATATATGTTTCACGGCAAGTTGTTTGCCATTACTTAGTACAACTTTGTACACATTTCCAGATCCTCCTTTGCCTATCAAGTTATCAGAATGCATTGAATCAATGATTTCCTTTTCCGTGAAGCACACTACGCGGAATGGCTTCATATCCCACAATTGGGATTTCAGCAAATGCTTGGCATCGTTACGTTTCCATTTAACGAACAACAAACACGAGAAGGACACGAGCAACACTAGAATTCCAGCAATGATGCATGATAGCAACTTTCCGAGATGGTGGGAGGAGCTAGAGGTTGATGAACATGAATTCAAATATCCGAGAGACTCGCTACACAAGCCTGGATTTCCCATGAAACTTTCATCAAAGGCTTGGATCGCTAGCGATTCAGGTACTTGGCCAATTAGCCTGTTATTAGACAGGTCGAAACTGCTTAGCCTCAACTGCGAAAAACTCATTGGGATTTCGCCTGAAAGTTCATTGTTCGATAGATTTAAGGAGTTTAGAATTGGCAAATATCCAAGACTCTCTGGAATGTCCCCTGAGAACGAATTCTTAGCTAGATTTATGGTAGAAAGAGAAGTGCAAGAGCCTAATGAGCTAGGTATGTTGTCAGAAAACTTATTGTCATTCAAGGAAAGGCTGCTTAAGTTCTTCAACTTGCCAATTGTTTTCGGGATTGGACCGGCGAATTGGTTCAAATCAAGCAGGATTGAGACTAAGGATGACACCTCGCCAAGCTCGGTCGGTAAGTTTCCAGAAAACCGATTATTCGATAGGAATAACTGGGCAAGAATTTTTGCTTTACCAATATCTGAAGCCACAGGACCTTCAAACTGATTCATTGAAAGATCAATGATGGTAAGATTTGGCAGACTCCAAATCCCAGCAGGAACGACACCCGAAAGAGAATTATTGTTCACTCGTAAACGATTCAAAGATTTACAGCTTGTGTAGCTTTCTGGGATTCCACCTGTGAATTTGTTTTGCAGCATCAGGAGATCATTCATCCTGCCCTGCTTGCACATGTCTGGAGGTATAGGACCAGACAGGAAGTTCTCTGAAACATCAATGAAAATGAAGGCTCCCCAAGATCCGAGCCTCTGAGGGAGGCTGCCAGTGAGATTGTTCTGATAAAGAGAGAGTCCAACAAGCTCTTTAAAGTCCCCAAACTCGTCCGGAATCACACCGGAGAATCGGTTTTCAAAGAGCTGCAAGGACTCCAGATTGGTCAAGAACCTCAGCTCCATCAGATCACCTTCAAGATTATTAGTTGAGGCATCAAAATTTTTCAGTCCAGTGAGGTTCCGGAACCCGACTGGGAGCTTCCCGGTCAAGGAATTCTCATGTAGCTGCAGCTGCCACAGCTTCTTGAGGTTCACAATGTCAGATGGAATGGGACCTGTGAGTTTATTTTGCGAGAGCTCAAGATTCTCAAGCAGAGACAGGGTCCCAATCCCAGGTGGGATTTCTCCATGGATGCTGCAGTTAGCAAGGTAAAGCCAATACAGCTTTTGAAGCTCAAGAATCTCAGTTGGGAATGAAGTTGTTGGTTCAAATGAATTGTCCCCAAGGCTTAAGAACTCCAAATCAGTAAGATTGTGAAGAGATTTCCATGGAAAATCCCCTGAAAACCCACTGTTATTCAAGCTCAAGTACCTCAATCCCCCTAAAGAAGACAAATCAGGCACTTCACCAGCAAAAAAATTCTGACCCAAATCCAAATACCTCAACCTGGAACAATTCCTCAACTCATCACTCACCCTGCCATACAAATGATTCGACCCAAAAGACAGCTTCTCCAGCGATTTCAGAGAGCAAATGGAGTCAAAAGGAAGAATCCCAGATAAGTTTTTGGCAGAGAGATTGATTTCAGTAACAAATCCATTGGAATCACAGACAATGCCATGGAAGCTGCTGCACACAGCATTGCTCTCTCCCACCCATGAGTTGAAAACCGAAGAGGTTGAGTTGTGGTGGAGGGCAGACTTGAGGGCCAGAAGGGACTGAAGTTCATCGCCATGGGAGAGGGGAAGTGAGCAGAGGAGGAGGAGGAGGAGGAGGAAGAGGGTGAGACTCGGCGGCGGCGGGGGGCGGCGCCGGAGGAGTTTTCCGGCGGGGAGTGGGAATTCAGTCATGGGGAAGAATTGAAGAGAAGGGGCGGCTGGAAAATGGGGTGGTTCATGTTCACATGTTGGGAGGTGGAAGAAGAAAACTGTGGGACGCAAACTGGGAACCTTCCTTCTACGTGCAATGGAAGAAGAAGTAAGAACTGTTGAATGGAAGGAAGAAAAATATTTAAGGCTACGTTTCCCCAAATCATTCTCGCATTGTTTAAATATCTATTAATTCAAATTCATTAGAGATATGGTAAATATTCGGTTAAAAATTATTTTCATCCCGTCATATGTTGATTGAAGTAATGATTTAGTTTCTAAAACATTTTTTTTTTCTATAATGATTTTGAGTATCTTACTTTTATGTTGGTAACAATTTAGTTCCTTTAACTTTATATGGAATAATTTAATGTTATTGTTTAAAGTTTGTAACGATTTAATCTCATCGTGAAATTCTTTTTTATTAATTTTATTATATATGTAAATCGATAAACTAACGAATGACCAAATGTATTTATGAATTACAAAAACTAGATTGTTATACGATAAAAGTCGACACTTAATTTTGAGCCTTTTATAAGGTTTTTCACAATGGTAACTAAATTGTTACAAATTTTAGACTGCGTAAACTAAATTGTTACATACTAAATAGTTCGAAGACTAAATTGTTAATTATTTAGAAGTATAAAGACTAAATCGTTACATACTAAAGCTTAAGGACTAAATTGTTATTTTAGGAAAAATACGATGACCAAATATGTTTTTTTAACCTAATTACTATCCAAATCAATAAAATATATATATACACACTTATTGGGTTAAGGCACAAAGTAATCTTCTGCAACTATGAGGTTGGATATTTAAATCTTCAATCCCTCTATTGTTGATAAATAAATAAAAATAATAATAATGTTTGCCTATGTACTGACATTTTCATGGTATTGCAAAAAAAAGTTGGTCAAAATATAAAAGAATGCCACTAGTGTGTATAAAATATTAAAGATAAAAGAATTTTTAACTCATTGAAAAAATATTAAAATACTAATGGTTAATCTAGATATTTTTTAAATTTTATTTTTCGAGAAATTCTCATCATCAACATTTTTTATTGATTTTTCTATTAAGATTTTAATAAAATTGAGATCTCAATGTTTCTATTGGCATCAATCTTTAAAACCTTGTCAATAAGAACTAATTTTCTAAAATGAGGTAGTTTTGTTGGTTAAACTTTTTTAATGATATTTATTTATTAAATATAATAAAAATTGACCATTATAAATATGTTATGTTACATCAAAAAGCTGTGTATATTATATAGGTAAATATTACTCAACTAAATATCAGTATCTATTTCAGCATAGTTGGGTTGTAAAAGTATCTCTATATTTTTTTAAAATAAATCGTAAGTTCAAATCTCATCTCATTTGAGATGCAATGTACTAAAAAAATATTATTAATCAATAGTATGTGGGTTATTATTAATTTTTATGAAGTTAATTGTTATTTAATTGGTATCCATATAAGTAAATATGTTCTTTCCCAAAATGCTAATACTTGTAATTACTTCTCCAAAATTATATAAATATTTTAAGTATAAAAGTTGAACTAAAATATGATTTCAATATTTTTGAAAAGTTGTTTTTCAGCATTCTTAATGGCATATTTCAACTGATCAAGATATATTTTCTTCATCAAAAGGTTGGAGGTTCAAATACTCACTCTCATATTTGGAATATTTTGTTGAACTAAAAAAATAATTATTTTAACACCACATGAAAATTGTCACTTAAATATTTTTACAACATATTGATTGAAATAGCAAGTGATATTTTGACATGAATGTATATTTGAGAGGAGATTTAGAGGTACTTTGTTTAGTGGGAGGATTGTTGGGAATGTGACCAAAGTCCCACATTAGCGGAGATCATAAATATATAGATGAGGACAATTATCTCTATTGGTATGAGATCTTTTGGGTGAAACCAAAAGCAGAGTCATGAGGGTTATACCTAAAACGGACAAGATCATATCATTATGGAGAAACTTGAGGATCGTTGTCCTTAACAAGTAGTATCAGAACAATGCCACTGATTTAACTAGAATCATCGGGTGTTGAAAAAATAATTGGTGAGCCTTAGAAGATGGTAGTCATGGTATGATCCGTGGTTGAGTTCTATCGGACAGGCGGTGTGCTTCGGGGAAGGGGAGTTGGCTTGGGTAAGATTTGGACAAACGGATTACTATTTGAGGGGAGGCTCGGTGGTATTTTGTTTGAGGGGAGGATTGTTGGGAATGCGACCAAAGTCGTCCTAAATTGGCTAAATAAGGAGAATATCATAGGTATATAGATGAGAACAATTATTTCCATTAGTATGTGACATTTTGGGTGAAATTAAACCAAAATCAAAGTCATGAGGGATTATGTCCAAAGCAGATAATATCATACCATTGTGGACATATTTGGAGGTACTGTTGTCCTCAACCCTATAAATATTCAAAATTTAGTCCATGTATCTTAAATAAACTTTAAAATTTTTCATGCATTCTCAACTTTTGACTTTAGGGGGAAGTCTTTCTTTTTTAAAATTTTGAAAAATATATTCACAATTTGTCGACAATGAAAATTATTATTATTATTTTACCAAGTTAGATAAAAAAAATGTACTTCAAACTAATGATGGAGACTAATTTTAAGATGTATTGTCGTACGGAGACAAATTTATTGAAAGTATATAGACCAAAATAGAATAACTCCCGAGAAAAGTGATATTTTAATTGTTATTATTATTATTATTATTTGTCTCCTCTATCCAATTTGTAATTAAAATACTAATCTACCCTTACAAGAGAAAAATCCAAAAACAAAATTAAAATAAACCTAACTCAATAACATCAAACTTGTCACTTAAATGTTTAGATTAGATTAATCAGTGATACTTTAGCATGATGTGACATAAAAATGTGGGCTAATAAACTAGATAAAATAAGAGAGTGAATAACTTTTTTTTTAACATAACATGTGGAGGTGAGATTCGAACTAACAATTTTTTGATCGGAAATATGTGTTTTAACCCGTTTGAGTTATGCTTAATTTGGTAAGTGAAAAAAATTTTGATAAAGTAGATACGAAAAAAACATATTTTAAATTGAAAACTTAACCGACACGGAAAAACATATTTTAAATTAAAAATTTGACCCACGCTTCTACTTTTGAGCATTAATCCAAATATGGTTCAATAAATAAAATATTGTTTTATTAATTTAGAAGGTTTGATTCCCAACCTCCACTTAAAAAAAAAAAAAATGCTATATTTGAACTTAGAAATGGTAAGATTTTATTTATTTTACTTATGGTCTCTTCCATCCAAATTATAAAATGACAATACTTCGATACTGACCCACACTTATCTTTTTATGTTAACCGCCCTTCAAAATTTGACAACTCTTAATTATTTTTTTTTTAAAAAGAAATCTCTCTTATTTTGTAAAAAATTTAATGGTAGTAAACAAGATGAGTGTGATTTTGTTCACTCTAAAATGGTTAAATCATGTTAAGGATCCCACGTTGAAAAGAAAAATGACCTTACAATAGTTTATAATAGACATGAACTCCAATTAGTTTTGAGATGGAATCCCATAAATATTGATATGGTATCAGAGCCCAAAACACTCAAACGAGCAATCGGTCCAAAAATGGGATCCGGCCAAGATCGACGAGCCAAAAAAGTCAAAATCTTGAAGGAAATTGGATAGAGCAACGAAGAAGCAAACTCTCTTGAAAATGGATAAATAAGAATTTTAGGAAAATTGAGACAAACAATTGTCATATTAATAATCATATTGATTCAAATTCTGCCACGTCAACTTATGTTTTCTCAAATATTCTCGAAACATTTACGAAACATCAAAGATAGTATTAAAATAAATGGTAAAGTTTGGAGGTATTTTTCAAATCCTTAACTTTATAAAAGTGAATGTTATTGGGAAGACGGTGCTGCCCAAAAAAGTGAAGCACGACAAGCAAAGCATACGATACATTTTTTAACTACAAAATGGAATTTTATGGCCACCTTTTTTGACTTTTTTTTTATTTCACTTTTTTTCCATGTGTGTTTTCTTAAAATTATTTTATTTTATCTTCATTTTCATCTTTTTTTTTTCCTCCTTCAAATATTTCCTTTTACCTCTGTCAATAAACATTTATTTGTTTGATTTTGATTCTCAAACTAATTATTTACTTCAAAGATATACACAAAGAGACAAGGATAGTATTTATAAATTTTCATGACTGATTATGTTCAAAATATGTGATTTTTTAATTAAAAAAAATTAGGAAACAAATTAAACGAAAAAGTATAATATACTATTGATTTTTGAAAAAGAAAACTAAAAGGAGATTTTTAAATATTATGTTGATTCGTAATTTCATAGATTAACTTGGATAAAATTTTGAATCTATATATTAAAATAATTAAATTAAAATGAAATAATAATAATTAAAGTATTGTTTTAGTTCCTAAAGTTCTACTCTCTTTTTAAATTTGTTTCCTTTAAGTTTAAAAAGTTTATAATAATCCCTTCGACTCAAAATTGTTAGAAAATTTTGAGCATTCAAAATTGTTATTTAGTCATAAAAAGAATTTGGGAAAAAATATTATTTTAAAGTTGAAATCAGTGACAAGTGCAATAATTAAGGACTTTACAAATGCAATATTGATGTTTTTTTTCTTTAAAGAAACTCTACAAGTGCAATAATTAAGGACTTTCCAAAACAATAATTGGGCAAAAAATAAAGCAACTTTAATAACAAATCAATTATAAATTTAATAATTTTTGGAGGAAAAAAATGGTCATCATTTTGTAGGACAAAGGTGGGCCCTGCCCCAACCACCTACTTTAAATTCATTCAAATTTCAAACTATTATTTTTTCCTTTTTGTTTTTTTCCATAAAAAAAATAAAAAATAAAAGAGATAAAAACTTGATTTTTGCAAAATTTTCCACGTGAACCAAGAAATCTTCGGTAGATTATTCCAAACATTCATGAAATTTTTATTTTTCTGTTGGTGGGTGACCATTTTATCTAAATTTAAACTTTTACTCATTAAATCAATTTTTAATCTAAAACTTTAATTTCTTCCAATTGAATTTTAGACTCATATATTTCAAATTTTACATTTTATTGGATTCTTCTGGTTACATTTACTCATTAATTTCAATCAAGAAAAACGTAAAAATTTTCATAAAATTCATTAATTTCAACAAAAATCAACTAAAAAAA